TGTGTGAGTGTGTGTGTGTGTGTGTGCGCGTGTGCGTGTGCGTGTGCGTGATGGCGCCTCGACTGAAAGTCATGTATACATTCGGCTGCCAGGCTCATTGAATCGAACGAAAGCCAAAAAATGCATCAAGCAGTTGTGAGCACGGGTTTGTCGGTGAAGATGCTGCCAAAAGCCCATGCAAGAACGTTCACGATCACTCGCAAAGACTCGTGCTAGGGAAATGGTGAACTAGAACCACAGCCCCCGTACCCAAAGCCACAAAAGCTTACCAGGAAAAGCAAGCCATATCGGGGAAAAGGAAGGTAGCTGTTCTAGACTCAAATGCAGCCGGTGCACTCTGCCAAGTGGCGGTCTTTCACAGCAATCTCGACAGTAAGAGTCTGGCTGCCGCGCCTGACTTCACTTGACTTGGCAATGTTACGATGACTTGCTTGGCCACACGGCGCCTACCAACAAATGTTGTCGCGCCTTTCGGGCACATGGGGTTTGGAAAGGATATCCTGCCGCAGAGGCTTGAACAATCAGCCTTACTAGAGCACACCTGCAACGCAAGCACAGCCTCGTTTGTCGGCGGTGACGCCCGCGCCACAGCTGCGGTTGCTGTTGCACTGCTCTCAGATCGACAGAAAACCAGACGACCAGAGCGGAAGCAGCCTGTTTTATGTCGGATGTCTGACTGCGGAGGCCGTGGGGGGTTATGGCACTGCAGCTTTTGTATGCGTTGTGCTTGCCGCAAGTGGATTCCTGTACCCTGCTTGCTGACGGCAGCCTCTTTGGGGAGCTGCGTGCACCAGGCGGAGCAAAGCCAAAAGCAGCCACCATGTGCACATGGGCACATACTGGCATGGGCGGCAAAACAACCAGTCCGATGGATTTCACAAACACGGACCGGACCCAGGAAGCACGCTATACAACATCGCAGCCATGGGGCGTGCTAAGAGTGCTCAGGAAGTTCTGATGGGATTTGTCATGCGTGAATTGCTCACATGTTTGCATAGTCGGAATGTTCTGAAGCCTTCTCATAAAACTGTGCTGGTGTAATCTGAATGTGTCACATTGCGCTCTTGGACCTGAGAGGTTCCAGCTGCACTGTAGAGAATGGAACCATTCTTTCCCGCCATGCCAAGTGAGCTCGCCATGGCACCTCAACTACCAGCTCGCGCACTTGGCTCGATTCATGACCGAGAGCCGCCGAGAGCGACTCAATCGCCTCCCAAACACGGTTTTTGCACGGCTCGAGTGGTGTCAGCAAAAGTATCATCAAATCACCTTCTTCCTTTTCTATCAAACAGCTCTCCCCACGAAGCGCCTGTGGATCACCTTGCAGGGCGTGACAATGCAAACACGTCCTCTGTGAAAGCATTGAACACATACGTAGGCACGCCTGCTGCGAATGCAGAAGTGGTCTGAAATGATCTGAATGCAACAGACGATCATGCTGGTGCCAGCAAGAGTTTCCTCGAATGATTGGGCCAGCATCCCCTGATGTGGGGGGCTTGCACGCAGTCCGCAGCATGCCGGATGCCACATACAATACTGGGCACAAAACCTGATGTATTGTTCTTGAGAACCGACTGACCGCAAGCTGTGTCTTCAGGAGCTTAAAACGAAATTCCCATGGATTGTTTGCGGGCCACTTAATCAATCGTTGGCAGTGCAAATCGAATGGCACCACCAAGAGCACCTACCGCGAGGCATGTGCCAGGTTCCAAGATAGCAAGGTAAGGGTTGACAGCCTCGCACTGCTGTGGTTGGCGGCATAAGCCGGAAGCTCTTCAGCTAGGCATCGTACGTCTGTGTCACACTGGCGATGGCCCTAGCTTTGCTATCTAGGTTTGGTTTCCTTTTTGCATCCAGGCCTCTGTAGAGCTTCGGTTTCCTGCATCTATCAAGAGGGGGTATCGGAAGAAGCGAGGTGAGCAATCAAGGCACCGTCCTAAGCCGGCCTTGTTGCTATAACTGTTTCTCACCCACCGGACCCAACGGGCCTTGACGTTCCGCACACACGCCGCATGTCTCAAGATGGTATTAAAGGTCGGAAAATTGTGTAGGACGTGGTTCGCTAGTTTCTGTCCGCGCCAAGCCGTAGCCCTCTGGGCCGCGTTTCTTATTTCAGCATTGCCGGCTTTTTACTCGACAATGCATGCTACCTTCAGCCGGGATGGAAAAGTAAACTTAGATTTAAGCGTCAAAAACAACAACTAAACTCTTGTGCTGCCCACCGCACCTTTTGAAACGATCTTTGGTAGCAAGTGAGCTGCCTGCAAGCGCCAGCAACACTCATGTGGATGATTATGCACGGCTTCAGCAAAACAACTTGGCGGGGAGCTTGCGCCTTGGACCTGGCCTCTGCTTCTGGATGGGTGATGAGGCGCGAAACCACAGAAACAGCAACCGGGTCGCCCTCTGTGACACCTACACAAAAGCAGAGTGGGGGTCACATGTCATCCACCGTCAAAGCCACTGTCAGCTCTGGAAGATTTGAAACGAGCCCGCAAATCTGTTGAAACAACACTTCACGCAAAACAGTGCCGGAGAGGGACATGGAAAAGTCGTTGACTCAATCACACAGTATACACTACTGGATTGTCATGCCGAGCGACACTGCGAGAGTTCATCAAGCGCAGCCTGCACCCTTGGCAGGGAGGGGAGCTTATCCTCCCAATTCCATGCATTCAAACCTGCCCCGCTGCCAGTCGTATTGACACCATGTCACATGTTTTGAGCAACTGCCAGCACCATTAATAACTTCACATAAATTCAACAGCTCGCCTAGCATTGTCTGCAACTACAATTCTACACCCGAAACAAATAACAATGATGATGCACGCAGAGCAGGCACCCAACTACTGATTCGTTGCAACCTCAAAATTTCTCCACCCAGGAAGGTTCTGAGATTCCTCCTTCTTGTTCCAGGTCCAAGTTTCCATTTTGACTGGGCCGAGGATTGCGCAGCCGGACCCCCAGCTGCGGCGTCCAGTCTCATAAGCAGGAAGTCCTTGGCTGACGTCTCACTACCCGCAGCCGTGTGCAAGATTTGATGCTCAGGCTTACATACTGGAAAATCAGCCAAGAATCACAACGAAGCTTGGCAGCTTTTCTCCTCTCCTTTTATGACGGAAGTATCAAACTCTCTGTTTCAGTTTGGCCTCACTGCATTCACCCTTCCAGACAAACTGAGCAAGATGTGTCCTCTTCCTTTGCACTGGTGATAGACGCAAAGTGCTCCCCGATGTAAGGAAGCACCTGGCCACTTGCCGTTCTGACCTTTTCCTGCCTCAACTGATTGCAACCTTCGATTCAATCCTAGATTTCCCTTACCTTCTGCTCCAGTTCCTCGACAGTAATGTTGCCATCGCCGTCCACCTCAACATTATTGAATCAGCCAGATACAGTACCCTGCTCTCCGACTCACTTTATCAAATTGCAATGCCTCAAAGTTTTCGCGCATGAAATTCTCCATTGCTCGCGCATGTAGAGGCAGCTGCACCGCAGCCACGGTGGCAAGCTCTGATACGTCCATTCGTCCAGTGCCTGGATTTGGTTGCCAGAGTCTGTGTTGTGCTTGGCTTTGCCACCTTCTCAGGCCGTGGCCCTTCCAGTCCAGAAATGCGATTAGGGCTTTCTGATCACTCATGGAAGGCATGCTCACGAAGCCATCCTGTGCAGGATGTATCTTGAGGGGAAAACCGGGATGTGAAAGACTGCTGACGCAATGAGCAAGTTCCGCAAATTTCCGTTGTCAACATAAAAATTATATGGGTACGGAATTATTTGGGGAATTTGTTTTGTTTTTTTCTGGTGAACTTTTTTTTAATCCTTTGGGAGGGCAAATGCGAGGACACTCCACGCCAGAGCTCGATTTTCACTACAAATGCGAGGTTGGACTTTGAAAAGTGCCAACAGTCACAGGGATTGTCGGGGTCGGGGTCGTGATCCTCGTGGCTGTCGTTGCTTTTGGACCCTTGGATCCTTTTGGAGGTTTTCAAGCGTCAACGATCGCAGGACTTGCGGGGATCGCGATCGCAATCCTGGCAACTGCAGCTTCGGACCCTTTCGGAAATTGAAGATATCGAAAATCACCAGGATTACGGAGGTCGGGCTCGTCATCCTCGTAACTGTCGTCCGTTTTGCACCCTCTGATCCTCTTGGATTGTTTCAATACGCATAATAAAATTGTGCAGCATCTTGTCTGGCGCAGAGGCTGCAGATTTCAAGTTACAGTGTTGGGAGCTCATCTAGAACTTGCAAACACTGTCAACTATAGCATTTGGAGATCATCTAGAGTTTGTAGACACAACTACAGCATTTGAAGCTTTTAGCGCTTGCAAATACTGTAAAAAAAAAACAGCATTTGGAATTCTTTAGAACTTGCAGACGCTGTAAATCACAGCACGCCAGCTTCTGAATTTTGGGGATTTGCCGATGTATGTTGCAAATTACAACATACGGAGCCTTGCAAAGAACATAGACACTGCGAGCTGCAGCATTTAGAGAGATTTTCATTTGTTTGGATGGCGCAGCATCCCCTTTCACACAATATGATCCGCATAATCCTCCCTTACCCTCCATGGCGATGACATGTTCCTTTAATATTTACTGTAGGCAATGATGGCTTCAACCAAGTGGGGGGTTGGGGGGGGGGGCGCAGGCCCCCCATTTGCCCCAGAAAGGATCCGCGCAACCTGGCACTATTGCAAACATGGTGGTGACTCGATTTCCTATTGAAAAAGCAAGGCGGGGGTTGAGGGGGGGCCGCAGCCCCCACCATTTGCAAACAGAATGATCCGCACAATCATCCCTTACTGCAAACATGGTAATAACATGATGCTTGTGCGTTTTTGCAGGCATGCATGGCTTTAAAAAAGCTTGGAGCTGGTGGAGGGGCAGCCCCCTCCACTTGCACACAAAATGATCCGCACCACAAACCGCTACTGCAAACATGGTGATGACATGATTTGTTTTACCCTAAGCGTGGATGTCTTCCAAAGAAGCGGGGTTGGGGGGCGCAGCGCCCCCGTTTGCAATAAAATGATCTGCACAACCTTGCCCTACTGCATGCACGCCGATGACACTTTTGCTGTAAGCATTGATGGCCTTCCGCTTGTGGCAGCTTTGCTGAGAATGCATTGCTCGGTTGCATCTCAATAGTACTCTGAATAAGGAAACGGCCACTTCAATTCAGCCAGTGCGGCAAGCAAAAGTAGGACGCAAAACCTACCCTGTGTTGGGGGTCGCCGTGCAACCACCCTCATCTACCACAGCACCCCCCGCCTAGTGGCGGCAGCCTTGTTTTAGTGTGTGGCGTCTCAAATGAAATTCTGGATACAAGAAGTTCAAGTACTCATGACCGTAGATCCCCAAACAGCGAAAAACACAATACAGCAAACAAGAAGCGGAAAGGAAGAAACAAACAACAAAAAGGCTAAACACAGCCAGCAGGAAGCAGCGTGTAGTCAACAAGCAAGAAGAAGTTAAAACCAGCACGGTGGAGGCACACAGCAAAAGGCTCAAAGCAGCAAGCAGGCCGTAGGCAGCAAGAAACAGGAAGCAAAAAACAGAATGCAAAACGCAGAAAGCAAGAAACAGAAAGAAAAAAAACAAACAGCGGAAAGCAACAAGCAGAAAGCAACAAGCAGAAAGCGATAAGCAGAAAGCGACAAGCAGAAAGCACACAGCAGAAAACAAAAAGCAAAAAGCAAAAAGCAAAAAGCATAACGCAGGAAGCAACAAGCAGAAAGCAACAAGCAGAAAGCAAAAGCTGCAACCAGAACCAGAGAATGGGTCAGGAAATAGAAAACAAGAGGCAGGACCCTTAAAAAACAAACATAATGATTCCTCAAAAAATAATATTCCAAATGGGTTCTGCATGCTGCCATAAACCATGACTCACACAACTGTCCAAGCTTGTCCAAGGATCCACTTGTTGCCGGGTAGTCGGGCTTTGGCCCCAAGCGATCTTGAGGTTGTCGAAGCAGCCATCCTCTCACCACGCTTGAGATTCTGCATTGCTGTATCGGCACTACAGCGTTGCGTCCTTTAGCCGCTCGCCCGAAAAAGCACCCTTGTGGCTCAGCATCAAGGTGAAGCATCCTGGATGAGGGAGACCCTGGTGTAAATATCTCTGCACAAAAGTTGCCCACCGTGCCTACATGGTAAAGGTCTCTTTCGATCCTCTTGCCCTGGAAAGTTAAGGCACCCACTTCCTCAGAGGCCAGGCAGGGTCAAGTGACTGCAGCTTGAATTTGCGCATCCCTCCCCCATACCGTCATCCTGTGCCCAGCCTGCGGTGATCGACCCAGATCTTCACAGCAGATGGGGCAATCTGCAGTCTCCTTGGTTCACGGAGGCCAGCAGGGTTATCTTATGCTTGCCGCACCACTCTGGCCTGGCTTGGGAACAGCAACTGTCAAGTCAGCCATCAAATAATTCCTTTTATAAACTGACGATGCTGGGCATCTTTTTCCTCCCTTCCAGTGGTATTTCGCTGCTCGCCATTAGGAGGCGGCTCTGCTTCCTCGGATTATGGTTTAGCCCAGGATGGCGATGATAAGGCAGTGGCTGGCATGCTCTCATGTTTTGCCAAATCTCTAAGCTTGGGTCAATTTCAGGCCGCCTCACACCCGAAACTTCAAACGAATTCAGGCTCCGAATTTGCTCTCCAGATCCTGCCTCGGCGGCTGCTGCCGCTGCAGAGATGCAAACCTCAGCAGCCTCACTGGCTCGTAACCTTCTGCAACGCTACCCTCATCCGACGTGCTGTCCTCAGTGAAGCTAGCAGCCAGTACAGGCAAACAATCCGATTGTAAGGCTGACTCCAAAGGAGGCATGAACTGCGCAGCAAGCAAAATCTTCAGCTCGCATTTAGAATCGGAATGTAAACTGCAATGTCTAGTTAGTTCAGTTCCAAGCCGCATGCAGCGCACACTGCGAGAAGATGATCCTCCGACAACTGCCTCTCGTGAATGTTGCAACGCCATGAAGCAAAAGCGCAAGCCAAGACTGACTGCTGGAAGCCAGGACCACTTACGTTGTCAGATGCCAATGCTTGGCTTTGCAGGCAAGTTGTGCCTTTGGCAGCGTCATCAGACCGTCCCATGCTGTAAAGGATTAACCAACTCGCATCTCTCTACAAGGTTTTGGCTGAGGTCTGGAGAGAGCGCTCTCAGTTCACACATGAGCGGCCCGGTTGCTGACAGTTGAAGGTAAACGCCCATGTCCCAGTGAACTTTGATAAGATGTCAACTTGAGCCGAAAAATGTTAAATTCCTGCGCATGAAGAACCTCATCGTGATGCATGGATGCAGGCGAGGAATAGTCAAGGATTCGTTAATTGGTGGACAGTGTCAAGGGAGGACAATTCTTGCTTGGTACAGCCATGTACTGTGCGGCGGTTTGCACCTTTACGAAGAAGACATTCTTCAAGCTTGCAAAAGCATGGAAGAGGTAGTTCTCGCTCTTCCAGAAGATCTGCCCAAGATGCTCGTAGTACATTGACCTGCTCATGGCATGTGGCATGAAGCGGATGATGACAAACATCTGAGGAGCAAAACCGCATATGTAAGATCTGCCGAAGCGGGCCAGGTTTGTCAGGCCAGCCCTCTTTGGAACGCTTAGCAAGAAGTGAGTCGCTGAAATGTTGAGCATTTTGGGGGCAGCCATCATCTGCACACCGTCTCTGCAGCTGTCTCTGCAGGAAGGGCTGCCATTTCCATAGAAACTGGCTTTTGCCAAGATGCTCGTGAAGAGTTCCACAAGCAGATGCTTTGGCAAGACGCTCAAGCGAAACAGCTTTGAAAAGGAGCGTGCTTCAAACAGCTGAAATTCCACAGAGGGTTTTGTGATTGTGGTTATGACCTTTCGTCATGGCGACAAACCCTGATGGAAGCAGCGTACCCCAGCATGCGAGAACTACCAGACACTGGCCTTAGATGAGGCTTCGGCCGCTGATTCACCTTCCAGGTGCATGCACAAGAAAGGCTCACGCAGGACATTGTGATTACAACTCGCTCGAACGTCTCCAACTCAAGGCACTTGAGTTAGTCCCTGGTTCCTGCTAGGATGACGCTAGACTAAAATTGCTATGCCCTTGAATAAATCTCATTGGCTCCTCATGGTCAACTTGTGTTACCCTCTCTTGGAACTTGGGAATCACACGATCTGACTTGGGGACAGCTCAACACAACGTCTCACTAGTAAGCTACGATATGTCGATATGCCAAAGTGCCACCTTGCCCAGTGCTGTCATGAGATCGCAGATCTCGGAGGAGGTGTTGTAGGCCTCACCTTGGTTTTTGATTGGTGCAATCGCACTGACTTGGGAAGCTATCTTCATCCTCGGGTAGCGACGCCAAAGGTCCAGCCTGGTGCAAGATGCTGGGCAGAAGTGAATGGGGGACATCTCATAGGTGCTTTGTTCTAGCAGGCACCTTGCGCAGTCAGGCGCCTTGCGAAGGTGCTGGCACTCTCAGTGGCAGGCTCCGTGGCAACTTGCATCTGACGACAGCGCCTTAAGTGATGAGCCAGAAACCACCCCTAGCAAGAAAGCAAACGCGAACATGCATTCATGCAGTATGAAAAGGCCAGTATGAGCAGGACCTTGCATCCACGATATGGCTGGCATATTAGGCAGCACGCGTCTCAAGGGTCTTCGTGATGGTGTCGACGTTGTTTGGCTGTACCTGCCAACTAGCTCAGGTGGTTCAATCTCACCGGATGGCCAGAGAATTCGCTGCAACTCATTACACTGCAGCAAGCTGTCTAGCTGACAGTGCATCTGACTTCTGGGGCGCCGGGTTCTGTCCAGTAGGACCGGTCCGCTTGGAGAGATCCTGGCACCGGCTGCACAGGGAGACCTACATAGGTGTGCAGTTGGAAAAGTCTGAGCAAGGATCACACAGCTTGGACGGCAGCATGTCTAGTACAGTGTACCATCTTGTCGAGCAGTTCCAGATTTCGGACTCAATGTGCGCGGACGCCCCTATTTCAGCAGCCGAGGACTGCGTAAACAATATTTTCAGGATTTCGAAGTTTATCATAACAGAAGAAATGATTGAACCATGGCTGCAAGAATTTGTGCTCAGTATGCAATAAGCTTTAACATGAACACAAAGATATAAAGAAAATACTAATTAAACAATCCCATTTGCTTTCAATGTGAGTTGAGCAAGCTTCATTGCTCCATCTTTACTTTTGGCACCTCCAATGAAACCTCCGGCGTGCACAAATATCAAATCTGAAATTCCTGATACTTGACAAAGCTCATCTCTACATAGTTATTTCGACATCAATTTCACCTTAATCCTCTGAGATTCTCAGGTAATGAAATTCTCTGCGAAAAATGCACCCCTTCTCCTGATACTACCTGCACCCGATGACCTCTCTTCAATGTTTCTTCTTCAGGTTCACCAACAGTCCAGGTCTCAGGGTATACCACCATAAGAACGGAGTCATTCTTAATATAATCATATTCTGCAGGGATGAACTAAAAAAATCAGCTTCTTTGCCGACGATTGAAAATTCCTTCTCCATGTTGAAACAGTGTTCTCCCCAGGCGCACCCGCAGTTCATGTAGAAAATTCTTCCAGGTTCATGAACCTGCATTCTATTGGCAACAGCCCTTTGTACAACTTAACGAGCAGGTAACCATATGTCGACAATTTTCAAAACTTGCTCATGCAGTTCAGTTGCACAAAGATTTACAGCATCCCTAAAGTGAGATCAAACATTTAGACTACTTAAAAGATGATCTTGCTTGCTGTAGTCTCCGTTCCATGGGGCGTTCAGTCTCTCCACACGATGGCAAAGATCAGACGAAATAAAAAAAGGTTCAATCCTCCACTCTTCGCCTGAGACACACCATTATCCAACGCGTCGACGGCAACTGAAGATTTGATAGAACTGCTCTTCTTTTACGAATAAAACTTTCATAGACTTTTTGAATACAACAATCAGCTTCTCGTCTGGCACTTTGAAATAATTCTTGAGCATAGACTTTCCCAAATATTTGAATGTAAGCCTGCCGATGATAGTTTCGTGATTGTTCCGAATTCATCACCAAATGTTTCACTGAAACCCCTTTGATGGTGATCAAACCTAAGCTTTTCGGGATCAAAGCAGCCTCCAACATCAATCGCCATATCACATTCATTTCTTTCATCTGGCTTTCGTGTCCTTGTAAGCGCGTACTTGTTCCCGACGATATTGCTTACCACCCTACTGCTAGCGCTTCATCGTGGTGAAATTTTCCACTGTGATCACAAATAGAGAGGGCCGATTTGCGAGTAAGTATGTTGTCAATTATTGATAAGACTTAGCTTCACTGGCAGTAGTCATTATTCACGTAATTCTTGTGACATCTCTCCAATGCTGCCCTTAAGAGATTTTAAGAAACATAGATTTTATCCTTACTTGTTGGACGTTTATACTTGAATATTCTATTTTCTTAATTTCCGAGACCGCCAACAGGGTGGTGATCTATTTCACTACATGTGATACAGAGCTCGCACAATAAACTAGATATTGATCGCATTACTGTATTTTCAGGCATATTGCTAAGAATTCACCGTGGTCAGTGACTTAAATTTTGAATGATGAAGCTCTTTTCATCAACAGGCTTCATCTGGCAGAATAATCGCTAAGAAGTTTTTTCGATGGAAATAGTTTATGAAGGCCATTTGAGTATATTGTTACCATCAAAAAGATTCAAATGAAAGATGGAAAAAATTGTGAGTTGAGTTGGTTAATGAATAAGAGAATAGTATGTCATACCAGCCGAATGATTTGCGACTCCTGCTTGCTGATCTATCCCTTAATCTAATCAATCAAACAATTGAATCAACTCAGCCGGGAATCATCACTTATAAAGGCTAAATGCCGAATTTTCTAATTCTGTTATTCAGATATACCCAAGCTGGCTTATTCGGCACTTCGCAATCTTTAAGGAGAGACCGCATTAACCAAATCGAATCCAATGTTTTCGATTAAAGTAGTGAATGTTACTCGCGATTCATTTGTCATTGTGGGCCTCGCAGCTGACTCAGTAGTAATCTTAAAAGATAATATTTTCAGTTGATGAACGAGGGAGGCGTACTACACGAAAGATTTCGTGACCCCGCTGGACATTCAAGATTTTCACTTGGATGGTCCAACTATAACGGTCAAAAGCGGATCTTACCCATGCATGCATGTCTAGCAAACACCTAGAAGTTCTTGTATTTAGCTGAAATAATAGGGGACACAGGCAAGGTGCTGCAAAGATCCAAAACTTATGCAATTGCAGACCTTATTAAAGATCCAGGGTAGGATCTC